CAAATGGTTAGAAGAGATCCAGAAATCTGACAGGGGCCTTTTCAATACCATCTGTGGATATATGGAAGAAAGCAAGACCACCTCCTTGAAGAAGTATCTCAAAGAGCAGCTCAATACACAGGGTATAATCAATAAACTCTGTCAAAAGATAAGAGCAAATTTTAAAAAGAAGATCTGGAATACTCGCTGTGTCAAAGTTATAGAATGGAAAAAGAAGCAAAATATCACAGAAGAGGACAAAAAAAACGAGAGACCCAAGTCCAGACTTAACGAACAGACTGAACAGGATCAAAAAAAACTACTATTATATTCAGAGGATTTAAACCTGGAGGATATCAAAAAAATAGAAAGAAAGAAATATATGGTAATTATTAAGGATTGGGTTTGTCACGGAATAAAGTGGTTCAGTTTTTAACTGTAGACAGAACTTAGAATGATCTACAGTAATGACTTGTAGGCAATGATTTTATTAATTAGAGAATTTATTCAAATTAGTAAAGGAGCGAAATATCATTCCCTAGATTGCATTTAGAGAAATAGTTTTTCGATGACGAGTGAGTCAGTATGTGAAAGTCACAATAATTTGTAAATACCTAGTATATATACAATAAAGACATGTCATGTTGGCCTGACTGAGGATTAAAAAAAAAAAAAAAATTTCTATAAAGATTAATTTTTTTTTTTTTAGATATTTTTTATGTATTATTTTGGATTATTATTTTTAAGATTTTTTTATTTAAATATATAAACTTGACTATTAATAAAAATTTTATTTTACTATTTATTAAAACTATTAGAGTCTTATAACTAATATTACTAATTCTGGTTTTATAAAAAAGAATCAATTTTTAATCTTTATCTAAAATTTGTTTCTTTTTTTTACTTATTTCATTTGTATCTATGTTATTTTTATTTATTTTTGTATTATAATTAATTAAAATTTATTAAATAAAAAATCAAATTTTCCTATAATTCTTATTTATATCAAAGTATTTTTATTAAATAATTCAAATATATCTTTTTCTTAATATTATCTTTAATTATTTTTTGTTTTCTGTTTATAAATTGACAACTTTTTTAAAAATTTTAATTCATAATATTAAATTTTATTATTATTTTTTTTTTAAGAATAACAAAATTCAGTTTTATATATTGATATATTGCATATACAGTATATATAAAAAGTTCTAGCTATATAAAGTATACCTTAGTTAAATATTATACATCTTGAAAATATCTATATGGACTGGATATCCTTAATTAGTACATTTAATGCAAACCTATTTTCAGATATAATTTATCAATGTAACTTGTTGTCAGAAAAAATCTTACTATTTCACTACCTATATTTATATTACCCTTTTTTGACTCTCACATATGATACTTAATAGGTCCCAAGACTATAACCTAGGATCCCTTTCATATATTATTCTGTCAGATTTTTTTTTTATAATATTTATTACAGTATACAGTATCTACAAAATATCTATATAGAGTTTTAGATATTGTTTTATTCTATCAATAATTCTTTTTATATAATTTATTATTGCCTATCTATAGGAGGACTACATGAAATCTTGAATGAATATTGATTTTGATAGAGACTCTTTTTTTTACTAATGTGTCTAAGTTTTACTAGTTCTTTCTTTTTATAGTATATAGATTTTTAGCCTATCTACAGGAGTTGATTGGAACTTATCATATAATGAAGTGATTTTAGCACTAAAACTGGTTAAAACATCTTATGATTTTTTAATATCTTGTGATTAGATGGGATCTTGGCCAAAGATAGTAAAATCATTATCATGGAATGAATAGGATCTTTTTATATTACCAGGTTTTTTTTAGGTAATATTGCCTTGTAGTAATATTGAAATTGAAAATAATATTTGGTAATCTGGAAGAATTACCACTATGCTATTGACCTACAGATCTTAAATTTTATTAAGTATTAACTTGAAATAAAAAAGTTTTAATATTTGTATCTTTCTAATATATTTTTTTGTTATTGAGAAATAGTATAATATAGATTTTATTTATTTTAACTTTTATACTATATTTTTCTTTTTTACTATTATTTAATAAATATTTTGAATATTTAATAAGGATTGTTTTCTAATTATTCTATGATTCTTAATAGTTAAGTGATTAATTATAACCATATCTTAACTATTTTTTTGAATTAAAAATTTTTAAACAATTTATTAATTGGTTTTTAAAGTAGTTATCCAGATTTTTTGTCTTTTGTTTCTATTCAATTTTACTTTGATATATTATATATAGATTTCTGTTTTTTCTTTTTCCAAAGTTTTGTAAGATCCTTTATCCTTTTTATTTAACATGATCTCATATAGGATCAAGTATTATTCTAAAATAGGATCTTTACTTATATTCTAGACAAGTTAAATTATTTATCACTTTCTTAGTTCCGTAAGATCTTGACTTCTTTAATTAGTTTATGTACAATATATTAACCTATTGGTTTTCAATAAGAATATTGCTTTTCGATACTTTTCTGGTGTCAGGTATTCTTGAATTGAACTGTTTTTTTTAATCCATTCAAAAATATCTTGCTATTTTCAATCCTGAAAGGGTAGTCCTAAATCTTTGGTTAACTTTAACAACACTTGTGGTGCAAGATTTTTCCTATCGATAAGATGATTTGGTGGTTTGCATAAGAGGAGTTCCTAGAGTTTAATCTGTGCTTGATAATTGTTGTGAGTCCTGCTGGGTAGATTAAATTAAAATATATAGTACTTTTTATTTACAATAAATTGTCACACAAACCACTTCCTTTACTAAATAACTTTTCTGGTCAAAGGTAATAGACCCGGGGTGATTTACGCGGCGATTTATTAATATTTATTAGAATGAAAATTGGTTTCTAATGTGTCTGAGTGAAAGTTGATAACTATAGAAGAAACAAAAATTTTTAAATAATATAAATAAATGCGCTATGCCAAGGTAAATTGAAATTAATTAGAAACAATTTGGGTAGATGGAGTTATGGACCGTGCGAGGTTTTTAAGAATTTATCGCCAAGCTTGAAATTTGACACAATATCACATCCTCAGCGGATTCAACATTGATTGCTTAGAAACAAATCCTCGGGCTTTTCAAAATAACACAGGATAACTCGATCATTTTCATTTGACGTGTGGTAATACATGTGTGTACTGCTTTTGAAATAACTAACTGTGTCGTGATATGAACAATACTCATGAATCTATTCTTTATTTGATGATATCTATTTGATCTTCGATGACGGCGTTTGAAATGTGGGCAACCGGGTGAGACCTACGGGCTAACGATAAGCACTCAGTCTGCAGGTAGGATAATAAGAAGTTGTCGTCAAGAAGGTTTGATCTTGCCCTCGAGTCTAAAAATGTACAGCAATCTATTTTGTTGCACACCAGGATATTTGAGGGCTCATTTTGAAAATGAATAAATTTTAAATAAGAAATTCTGGTCAAAGTAAAAGAAGGTCCATGCGCTTTTCAAATGCAAGAATTGAGAGAGAGCAGACACTCGAGTTTGCTATTGAGAATGAAAATTTTTCAGTGGGTTTATTTAGATAAATTAGAGGGAGAGGGCATCTGAATATGGTAACGAGTTGATATCGCCGATCGCAACCGCTGTAGGTTTACTCTGGAGGACCTTGATGGCGGCCTAGTTGACACGTTAACATGGACGTTTAAGTAAGTACTGTCACGAGATGCGACTGTGAGCGAAAGACAAGGAAGACTGAAAATTTCACCAACATTTTGTACATCCTCGATTTTAACACGATCAAGTTGGGCAATAGCCTCGGCAGGAGGGATAACCTTACCCGAGGACAAAACCTGTTGATTCGGGGGATGCGAATTAATAAATCGAGAATGTAGGATAATGTTGTTTTAAAATTTTATCAATTACGCAAAGGTTACCTGACCACCAAAGGTTTCGGTTTTAGAATAGCGTGTCTCATATGTGGCGGCAACACTACTCCTGGCCTTAGCTAGGGCTTGATCAAAATTCTCCTTGGGCACGCTTGAAGAGGCGCGCTTCAACTCCTCCACCACAGCCCGCAAAACCTGATATACGGACGTGGCTATTCCGGAAGTGTGTACACCAAAAAGGCCGGCATCCGAATATCCGACATTGAAAGCACTACCTCGCGTGCCCTCGAACTTATTCACTGTCTTGGCTAAAACATTAACACCTTCACCCCACTTTGTGTGCTTCTCGCCATCTATGAGAGAACGTAAAACTTGAAGTGTTGCATAATCGGGCGTACCCGCGGGCGCACCGGCAAAAGCAAGGACATAATGACTGATGCCTTCGGCAGCAATTCTCGCTTCTCCGCCGTAATATTTGGAGGGAATTGGAGTAAAGGGGGAGGCGTGACTAATGTTTTGGAATAAATCATCCGTCAGATTTAGTAATTCTTGGTGATTCACCGATGTGCCGACAACCGTAATGTTTGGTGCGATGTAGACTTTATTTGCAAATGCGCTGACATCTTGGCTATTTGTGATCTTTGTGGATTCGTTTGCAAACAAAGAATTACCAAGACCATGGCGAAAAGCAATCGAGTGAGCGGCATCAAATGCAACTACTTCGGGGAAAATTTTCATGGAATTTTTTTCAAACAGAACGCTCTTTTTTACGTCAAAGAATTCATGTTGGTGATAGCTGGATTTGAAAACGATGTCGGACAAAAGTTCCAGAAAGTGTGGACTGCATAATTGGAGAGTTTTTAGTGACGGACGGATAGAATAAAATCTTAATTGTCGAAAGATCACTTATGATGAAAATCACATACAGATCTTCACGTAAAAACTCGGCTGAAATGATTAATGTTTCCCGAGTTAAATTTGCAGACAAGACGCCGCCAAGCAATTCTGCCTCACGCGTAGTTCGAAATGTTGTTCGTGCGGAAGTGCTCTGCGTACATTAATAAATTGCATCGATAGATTAGGGAGAAAACCTGATTTACATTGTTTTCATTGAGGTTTTAACAAAGAAAAAAACGAGCAAATAAATTCTTACCTTGAAGGCAAAATTCTTCAAAAAATGGGCCGCACCGGCACTATCAGTCGTTTCTGCCCGGGGACCAGCCTTAACCACAAGAGCGACGGAGGATGCAGGGGCGTTATCTTTTTTTTTTTTTTGCATAAGGTTCAGAGTTGAACATTAAACGAATGAAATTTTGTCCTGTCGACTTCTTCCGATGAATAAAATGTTTACCTTCAACCGAGACAACTGTGACTCCTGTTTTAGACTTCGTAACTATGACAGGAGAGGCAGCGACACTGGCGTATTTACGAGCCAGTATACCACTTAGTTTACTCGACAGACGGCACGCACGAAGCATAGTTAAGTTCGGTGATGGAAATGGCCGAATTTTTCCTGATGATCAAATTCTAAATCACTAATTGGTTGACCTCCGATAACAGGTTTTTTTTTTCCATTCTTATGTAATGTTCATCGCTTTTTCCTTATCGAATTCTCTGCGTCTCTCAAAAATCGGTGCCGCCAGGCAATTTAACATTCTAAACGCGTCAAACGTTCCCAGGAAACCCTTCAAATTTGTTGGTGTCGCCAAGTTTCCCAAGCGATCCTTAGAAATGGCGTGGCGTTGTTCGGCTGATAGTAATGACGGCTTGGTGGATAATTTGAAGAAGAACAAGATCATACGTTCGGAAAGAGTTGAGAAGGCCATGAGGTCAGTTGACCGAAAAAACTACGTCAGCAATAGTCCATATACGGATTCGCCTCAATACATAGGCTATGGCGCGACGATCTCGGCACCTCACATGCATGCTATCGCTTTGGAAAACCTCGAACCATTCTTGAAGCCCGGAATGAAGGCCCTAGACATTGGATCTGGTTCCGGTTACTTGACGGTTTGTATGGAGGAAATGGTTGGACCCGAAGGAAAGGTTACCGGCATAGAGCACATCCCTCAACTGGTGGACATGGCCAAGTCAAATGTCCAAAAAGATCGACCGGAACTTTTAGAATCCAAGCGGGTAGAGTTCATAGTTGGGGATGGCAGAGAGGGGTACGCAGGAGGTGCACCCTACGATTGCATTCACGTTGGTGCCGCTGCTGGAACCACACCACAAGCCCTAATTGACCAGCTTAAGGCTCCCGGTCGATTGTTCATTCCCGTGGGCCATGATAATGAGAATCAGACCATTTATCAATATGACAAAGATGTTAACGGAGAGGTTACCAAGAGGTCACTGATGGGAGTGATATATGTTCCGCTTACTGACGCTCGCAAGCAACTGAACGGTATGTGATGGTTGTCACGTGACGTTATATCGCGAGTTCGTTTCTTTTGCCACGGTGAAATGCAGCATACCAAAAAAAAAAAAAAAAAAAAAAAAAAAAATGTATATATATATATGTATGTATATAATATCTCTTAACAACATTTGTCGATAACAATCAACAATGCTAATAATAAATACAGTACTGTATATGTGAAATGTATGATGGCACGCTTCGATTACATTATATCGTGCCGGACGTTGCAATTTCTAGCACGTGTGATATTTATTGAAATAAATCGGTGAATGAAAAGTTCAACACCAAAAATGGCCGATGGTCTTGCATAACAATTCCCCTTGGGATGATAAACTTACTTATTTACAAAGGTCAAGTCAAAATATCATTTGTTCTGTGAAACTGCATAACCATTTTTTTTTTTTTTTCACTCATCATCGACTTTCCGAGTAATTGCCGCGACCATGTTTTGATTTCTTGCCATCACCACCACCCTTTTCCTATCATTCGCAGCCAATTTTGCGGCTTTGAGGCGCTCTTCAAGCATGGCTCTACGTTGCGTTTCGTCAAACGCAGGACAGGGCAGAAAGGGTGGTGCGGCCACCATGAATACGGCAAATAAGGCTACCGTTGAAAATAAAGTTAACGTAACCTTGGATTTTTGCGCGGCTGTTAGTCTTGGAGGTACTGGACGCATTTGTTACACCGTTCTTTGCTCTTGGATGACTTCTTATGAGAGAGGTTTGAACATGTCGCAATCGCAATTTGTTGCCACCAGATAATTGGAAGAAATCTTCGAAAGGTAAAAAGTTTGATGCTCACGTACGTGCGTACTAATTTTTTTTTTTGGGGGGGGGGGGAAACTCGAATTAAGCTAAGATCTGCAAACAATGTTCCGCAGCATTGAGCATATTTCGCACGCATACCATACGTACGTATTCATACACGTAATTTCTGCTGCGTCATTTATCACCGGTTATATAAACGCGCGATAAATCACTTGCCTCTTCGTCCACTCACTTTTAACTTTCAATTGAATATGTCTGCACCCATCAAAAAGTCAAGGTGGCTTCCATTAGAATCTAATCCTGATGTTTGTGTGTCTTTCATTCTGATTTTCTATTCTCAAAAAATGCACATTCGGTATAATGTTAAAAACCTCCTTTTTTTTTCTTTAAGGTCATGAACGAAGTCAGTCAACTAAAACAATTCGATTTTCCCTTAACTCACGCACTCGTCTCTTACACCTTTCTTTCATTAGTATGTTTACAAGTTAGGTGTACCTCCTATGTGGGCTTACACCGACATTTGGAGTGAGTCTAATTATCTATTTAGTTTTCCTCTGCACGACTTTTTTCTGTTTCTTCGGTTCACACTGCGAATTATTTCAGGTCTGGATCCGGAAATTTTGCAGATGGTGCCTCAACCCGTCAAAGCCGTACTTATCTTATTCCCCATAAATGATGCTCACGAACAACATAGCAAGGAAGAAGCGGAGCGCATCCAAGAGAAAGGGCAGGAAGTATCTTCGGAAATTGTGTTTTACAAGCAAACCATTTCTAACGCATGTGGGACGATCGGGTTGTTGCATTCTTTGGCCAATAACCTCGATTCCATTAAAATTGGTGATCATCTTGTTTATGTTTTTTTATTGTCAGCTCGCTTCTCGTATGAAGTTGAATCGTCTCATTGCTAATATCTTCGTTCAGATGATGGTCCACTCAAACAATTGTTGGATAAAACCAGGAGTGGGACGCCGTTGGAACGCGCCAAGTTGCTCGAGGAAGACGGGGAACTGGCGGAGGCACACAAAGCTTCGGCCCTGACGGGACAATCCAGAGTCAGTTGATCTTCGAATGTATCTCGTTTACGTCTTTATCGTATCTTGACAATTGATCTTTCAAATTTGCAGCCCCCATCGGAATTAGATAAAGTCAACACACATTTTGTGTGCTTTATTCAAAAAGACGGGTCGCTCTATGAATTGGACGGCCGAAAATCTTCTCCCATTAATCATGGTTCATGCACTGACTTGTTATTGGTATGTGATTCGATCCTTTCTCTCTTGTTTGCGTGGCACCGAATGATACCATTCTAATTCGTGTTTATGACACGACAGGATTCCGCTAAAATTATCAAACAATTCATGGATCGCGTTCCAGGAAACCTTCAGTTTACCATGATAGCACTCGCGCCAAAACAATTTGATTGAGTGTTTACTTTGCCACTAAAAAATTTTGCCATCATCTCTTCCTGCTGAAATTAATTTGTGCGCACATTGAAAGATAGGAAGAAAGGGTATACACGCATATTAATAACAAATAAAATAAATAAATAAAAACGTTTGCTCGTTAAATTTCGACAAATTTTAATTGTATTTATTATTAGCTACGCTATTTCTCATTAGCCAGAAATTATTTAAATAGCGAATAAAAAGACCCTTAAACATAATCCATCCGCATTGGTCTAGTGGCTAGGATTTCGCGCTTTCACCGCGACGGCCGGGGTTCGATTCCCCGATGCGGAAACTCAAAATTTTTTGTTTTGTTTTTTTTTTTTTTTTCACCTATTTATCACCCACGTGATCATGTGAGCAATATAAAATTGATATACTGTACAAAAACTCGTTCCTGTCACTTCAACAATATGTCAACGCTAGGCGAAACAACACTACACGAGAGACTTGCTATTTCCAAGCAGGTGGCTGTCGTCAACCTCTTTGGTGGCAAGAGCCCCATTTGCTTGAACTTTTCCCCGTCCGATCGGAATACCATGTTTGATCTCAAGCAACTGATCTTCTCTCGTTTATCTATCGAACCCGAAGATCAAGTTTATCACACTTTATCCGGCAAACGTCTAGCCGACGACAGTCAAATATTTGAGGATGAGCAAGTCGAGTTCACGACTTTGAACCTTAATCTTCGGTTGTTAGGAGGAAAAGGTGGTTTCGGGTCGATGTTAAGGGCGCAGGGTGGAAAAATGGCTAGCCAGAAAACCACAAACTTCGAGGCATGTCGAGACCTGAACGGCAGGAGGTTGAGGACGGTGAATGAGGCCAAAAGGCTGGCCGATCACCTTGAACAAGAACCAGATAGACAACGCATTCGAAAAGAGAAGGTGCAGAAAAAGATAGAAGAGGGTCTGGCCGAACCACCGACAAAGAGAATTCGGTTTGACGACACCGAATACTTGAAAGCCAGCGAGGAGATGAAAGAAAAAGTAAGCAACGCGGTGTCCGAAGCGATATCAAAAAAATCTGTCGTCGTCAATAACAATAACAGCGGTAACGGCGATCCAGGGAGAGCTCTATCGTTATGGGACGTTGTTGTTTTATCTGAGGACGATTCGAGTTCGGACGATGAAGTCAAAAGCGAAAAAGGGAAGAAGAAGAATAAAGGGAGGAAAGCGAAAGTGACCAAGAAGAGAAAGTTAAAGTAGTTACAACAAGAGATTTCCATAAGTTAGTCAATTTAATTCGAGAAACGAACCGTAGCTATGTGGAAAAAGTTTTTCTCTCCAACGACAATGATTGACTACGAACGCTTAATATATTTTGGGATTTCTTTCCATACATTTATCATAACCTTTCCGCCACAAGAACGTTCTCGATACCACCGGTATTTTATTCTAAAAATGCTATGGACAAATGTGGACAAATGAAAGTGTCTTTGTATTTGAGAGGAGATAATTGTTATAAGATGCGCTAGATGAATTAATTGCTAGCCTAATTCCTACCCCTGGTCAAAAAAAAAAAATAAAAATAAAAAAAAAAAATTGAAATAAATAAAAACTAAAAATACAGTAAACATCTTATTCCTGCATCATCTATGGAGCCGAGTCAACACGAGATTGTTCTGGATAAAGAGTATTAAAGATCATGTCCATCACACCCTTTAATTCATCCCTAAGATCCAACAAGGTACCTTATCGTCCATAAAGTTAAGAATTGCAATGTCAATAAATTTACGTTGATGGAACAGCTGCATTGTAAAAAGAAGGATAAATTGCTTTCACCAGTATTTGCACTTGAATCGGCTACCAAGGTGGTGATCAACGATGCATAATTGAATTGGAATATTTGATGATTTCCATACAGGCTTACGATAGAATTGTTTTTCTTCAGTCCCATCTTGGATGCCTTTTTTTTTTGAAAAAATTCGCGTTGAATCACCATCACACTCTCGTTTGACGCGATTTTTAAATTCAAAAGGGAAAAAGTTGACTACCTGTTCGCTGACCACAGAAAACGTTGCCGACAATGCCGACTCAAGTATCCTCGGCGACACATCGCTTGATACAGCTAATCGCAAAAACGGTTACAGATTTGATGTCATTGATGAAGGGCAAAAAACGCATTATCAGATATTTACACTTTATCAGCATAATACCATCTCGATCTGTTATCGTGATTGCTTTCAACCCCTCTGTTCTGTTTTTTTAAAAAATAAATTAAAAATAAATTAAATGAAAAAAAGAGAGAATGTTAAAGGTGAGATAGATGTCCAAAAAAGATGCTTGAACGCTCAAAATGTACAAAGTTATGAAGCAAGAGTGCCTTAAAAGTAACTTGTCGAAATATACTTGTAGTTCCTGCGCGAGAGGTGTAAAATTAAGTCAGAAAAGGTGAGAAAGGTGCAATAGAGGGATGACCATCGCTACATAAATTAATGCAATATACCTCGCCCATCCTCGGTTGTCTTACGAAAAGTGTCGAATAATGCAAACTAATATTTAGATCAGACTCTTGGACTTACGTCATATCCGATCCTAGATAAAGATTATCAATACATTTTTAAAAGGTATCGGTGCAACATAATAACAGCTTCGAGCTTGTAACTATGCGGGTACGCATCAATCAATTTTTTTTCTTTTTAAGAAAATGGCGTTCCCCCGAAAAGTGCGAATAACTGTCCCTTGCTCCTCATCTAACATAGGACCGGGTTTTGATGTACTTGGTGTGTCATTGTCACTGTACCTTACCGTTGAGCTTGACATCCTCGAAAGTGAGCCCGATAAAAGTAACGAGGTGGTCTTGACATACTCCGGCGAAGGTGCCGACACACTAACTCTTAATATCGAGAAAAATTTGATTACGAAAACAGCACTTTATGTTCTTTCATGTAATAATATCGAAGGATTCCCTTCTCCACTAAACATCCACGTCGATAATCCGATTCCGTTGGGTCGCGGTTTGGGTTCTTCGGGAACCGCGATTGTCGCTGGTGTCATGTTAGGCAACGTTGTAGGGAATTTGGGCCTGACTAAGGAACGTATGCTTGACTACTGTTTAATGATCGAACATCATCCTGACAATGTCACTGCTGCTCTGATGGGTGGATTTGTCGCTTCGTATGTGAAGAGATCTGATCAAAATGTCACTCCTCACTCGGAAACGCCAGACAGTAATGGGGATGGTGTCGTGAAAGCATCCGTTCATGCCGTACCGGAAGGGATGGGACACTATGTCAAATTAAACTGGGCCAAAGAGATTAAAGCCGTAACTATTATCCCGCAATTTGAGGTATCCACTGCAGACGCCAGAAATGTGTTACCAAAAGAATACGGCAAACAAGATGTGGTATATATTTATTTTTGAACTTCAGGAATTTCATCTGTCCGGTGCGCAGTTTATTTATACAAATTTCTTTTGGATAAAAAAAAGGTATTTAACTTGCAGCGTTTAGCGGTCTTGATAATGGCTTTATCCTGTTCCCCGCCAAAAGCGGACTTGATCTATCAAGCGATGCAGGATAAAGTGCATCAGCCATATCGAAAGCATCTGGTAAGACATAATTTGAAGGTCACTTTCACACTTATGCTCATACACTTCATTGATGATTTGGGACCAAATTAAATTAGATTCCTGGTCTTTCCGAGATTCTTGCGAGCGTGAAGCCCGACAATTATCCAGGACTCTTGGGTGTATGCCTTAGTGGAGCAGGTCCTACAATCTTGGCTCTGGCGACGCAAAATTTCGATGGCATCTCAGAAGCCATCAAAAGCATATTTGCCGAAAAAGGAATAGAGACTGTTACGAGGGTTCTAGACGTGGTCGATGACGGAGCTCAGGTTACAGGAATACAACAATAGTCTTCTTTTTTTTCAATTTAATTGAAGTCGGCTGTTTATGAACATTAGAAGGTTTAAACCCGATAATTCATGTTGGGATAGTAGGTAATAGGGATGATGCTTACAGTTCTATCATTGAATTTTTTACTATAGTGAAACTTTCGCTACTTTTTTATTCGCACAATTCGAATCTTGACATTTGTCAAGGTATCATTCATTGTTCTACATCCACAATCACACAGTAGTAATTCATCATCATAAATTATTTATTCCAATAAAAAATTTTTATTGTGAATTTAGTAATATATTTTAATATTAGCAAAAAATTTTTTCCTTTTAAAATATAATATAATGTACATGTTGTATTATAATGGTTTTTTTTTTTAATCCGCAATAATGTTATCTTTATTGAAATATTAAATAAACATCTTTAATATACTGTATATTGACTATCGCATGATAACTAACTTTTTTTTTTTTTAATCTGTAGTCAGGTTAACATGACTTGTTTTTAATTGTATAATATTTACAACTTGATTTGATTTTTATATGTTAATTCACTTATTACTAAAAAAATTATTTTTTTTTAGATATAATTTAGGAAATAATATTTTGCTCCTTCGCTAATCTGAATTAATCTTTAATTGGTAAAATCATTATCTATAGATTTTTATTGTAAACTATCTAAAGTTTTATCTATAGCTTAAAATTCTAACCATTTGACTTTATGATAAATCCTATTTACAATAATTTTTAAAATATTTGATTTTTGTTTTTTAGAATTTTTATTAAATTTTATGATTCGTGAGTAATTGTTTTAATTTATCTGATTCTTTTTATTTTAATAATTTTTAATTTCTTTTTTTTTTAACTTATTATCTTAATACAATGATTATTCATAATTTTTGATAAATTTTGCTAATTATTTTTTATATAACTATTGACAAATTCCTTTAATTTAATTACTGTATATTTCTAAATAGTCAATTAATTTTTTGGCATGATTTATTTATCAATATATTGATTTCTTTTATTTTATGTTTTTTTAATACTATATATCTTTTCTTATTATATATATAATTAAATATTTAAAAAACATTTTACTATTTTTTTTTAAAGTTTATAATATGTATAAATAATCTTTAAATTAAGATTTGATTTTCTTTTTAATATTGAAACTCATTATAAGTTAGTTTTATTAAAAAGTTTTTATTTTTATTGATCTTAAAATATGTATAAAAAATATTATTCAAATTAAAAAATTGATCAATTATTTTTTATTATATTAAATTTAAAGATTTTATATTATTTTTATATTGTTCAATCTAAATTTTTTTTTTTTAGTTTATGTTTTGAAAAAATATCTAATATTAATAAAATAGTTTTTTTATATAATTATTGTAAAAACTTTATTTAACTCTAATAACTATTATTATATTATTAATTTTTTTTGTTTAATCTATTTTATTAAGTTTATTAATTATATAAGCTTTGATTTTTTTAATATTTAATATATTGTATATTATGATTTTTCTTAAAAATTAAATTATTAATTCAATTATATAATAATCAATTAATATTCTTAATTTATTTTCTATAGATATAAAATTTATAAATAGATAATTTTTTATACAATATTTTAATTGCAATTTATATAAATAAAAATTAATATATCTTTAAAAAGTATATATAGTATAATATTATATTATAAAAATAATTGAATTTTTTTATAATTTTAAAAAAAATTTTTTTTAACTCTTCACTGATCTTCTGACCACACACAAAAAAGATATTTACAAGAAGTTTTTATTTTTCTTTGCTAATAAAGTCTTAATACTTTCTTTAAAACAAATTGAAGTATGACTTCAAGAGTCATTTCTACCTTTTTCCCTTTTGTTTAAAAATCTCTTCACTTAAAAACTTGACTTCTAGTGACAAAGAAAAGTCAAGTAATACCTTTGATACCAATGGCAAGAAAGTTTCCAAAGGAAGAAAAATTAACTATGAAGTATCTAAA